CTTTCCATCAGGTGGGCCATCACCTTATTTGCCATTCTAAGTAGTATAAAAAAAAGTCAATTTATGAACTTGAATTTTTCAAAATAATTTCTTCTCTTAGTATTCAGTAATACGCTTACATATTCATCATCTAATTTTTATAAAACAAAGTGTTCTAATTATCACGTGACAAAACTCAAGCTACTATTACTGTACCTACTTACCAAACAAGGGGGAGGGAGGGGTTATTAATGCGAACTAGTCCAATTGCTAACACTATACTCTGTCAAATCGACCTCTACGAGATCCCCCCTGGAAACCATTGTGCTGAATTCCAGGTGTATTCATCATGATGGGCTAACTGACCTACCTTTTCATTCTCCCCTATCATACCTCACGGGTGCCTCGCCAGCGTATACTGTTAGCGCGGACGGGGTTTTAACATCCATTTTATTATCATCCATTAAAAAAAAAAACGATAAAAAATTGCTTGATTTTATATTTGTTTTATTCCTTTTAATTATAATTTTTTATATTAATTTCTTATTCTATTTGTATACTATCTTACTCTATCTAACTTTGAATAAAAAATAAATTATCTTGTAATAAAAAAATTGTGTTACTTTATTAGTATCTAACCTTATGTGTGTCGTAACTTTTTTACAAGCGAAGTTACAAAAATCCACTAAACAGCCATAATAAAATATTCACAGCGAAATAACGCCGAGCAGGTGTCGGAAAAAACAGAATTTTTACGAGCACTAAGAAAGTTTTCTAATAATGCGCCGAGTTGCGAGCGTTTGCCCACTAATTGCGAAATAAATTTTCAAGTTTTCCCAAAAAACACGCCGCGCCGTAAGTTACAACCGGGAAAAAAGAGGTACGAGAAGAAATGTCGCTGTTAACTCGCAGCGCGTGTACACAGACCATAACTTTTATAAGTATCTTTTTTACTTATCGAATGAAAAAAATTTAAATTTAGAACAGTTTTTCTTTTTTTATAACTCAATTATAATATTTCTTATTTGGCATGCTTATATTATGTAGACAGAGCTTTTATAACAGGTCATCTTTTTGTCAGCTAATCGTCAAATTAGCTAACTCTTTTTTTTTATTAATATTCTATCTACTTACGCACATAACATACCTTGACGTATCTATAATTATTTATTAAATAAAATGTTTTTGCACATTAAAACGATGCAGAATTTACAAGACAAAATAAATATAGAAGTTATAAAGGAATCACTCATAACTATTCATCAAGCAAAATTGTATGAAAAAGTTGACCTGCTTTTGCTCGATGCATTTGTATGGAGATACTCTAGATAGATAGATCTATATAACCTAAGCTGCTACGTAATTTTTTAAATTCTTCTGAAGGTATTATGTTAATTTTATTAGTTTTCAATAACGAATAAGCTTTTTTTATAATCAATATTATATCCAAATAATAATTAAACTAAACGAAATAAACCCTAGAACGTGAGACTTGATTAGTGTTTCAAAGAAAATATTTATCGTAATTAACGCAGACTAAACAGCAAAATATAGCTAGTTTTAAATATATAAACTACTACCGGTGGAAACGTGGCACTGGAAGAAACGTCGCCGCCCGGGATGCAGTTAACTCGCGCGTCGTCTACACAGACAACGATAACTTTTATCATTTCTTTTATCGAGAGAATAATATTTAAAAATAGAACACTATATTTTTTATTTATTTAAATCATATTTTCAATCAAATTAATTCGTCAATAAATAAATAAAATAATCAAATCATCAATTTAATTCGTACAATGTTAAAGAATAGAAGATAATTGTTTAAAATATGTATTTTTATTCATTATACTTTTAATTAGGTAATTTATAAGGACTTATAATTACTTTCTGTGTAATAAAATCAAACCTAGTTTTACTAATAAAGTGATAAATTAATTCGTCCTTTCATACATATCTCTTTATTTATAATATCATATTTATTATGTAAAAGAAAAAAAAACTGGTTATTAGCATGTTAATCACCAACCAATTATCATAGAATATTACTATTATAATCAACGTTAACGATTTCAACTTAGTAATTTAAAAAAATAAGTTAATTAATTAATATTACTTCCAATAACTTAAGACCGACGTTTAAAAAAGAAAGAGTAACGGTGCCCCGTACTCTTCCAAACCTATTAAGTTTAAAAGCCTTTCGGTGATTAAACCACTTTTTTTAAATGTCCTCGCCCCGGACAATTTTTCCTCCCTCCTTGGACACTTTTCATAATTACCGCGCTCCCTCCCACTCCATTCGCCCCCGTTACTTGTTACAAGATGTTACAGTCGAACTCGCTTAAAAAAACAATTTCATTATCTCGGCTACCCTTTTTCATTAAAAAAAAAAACTTTGCAAAACTTATTTCCAGCCAGACATTCCATTTGGAAAAAAAAATAAAAAATAACTCTAAGCGACTATAAAGCACTCGACAACACTTACGGAGTTTCGTACATCATTAAAAGCATTTTTAAAACAATATTTATAACAGAGAGGCCGACACACAAAAAGTAAGACAACGCTGAATTGATTTACTATAGCGAAAACGAAAAAAAAATTGAAAAAGTTTCAGTACAGTCACGTACGAAACAAAAATTATAAAAAGAACACGGGAGGAACACATGTCCCGGACGAGAGGCAAACGTCAAAATCGTCTCAATTTCGAACGTAAGAACAATTGCAATTTGAATTTTAAATTTGGAACGCGGTCATTTTCGGCGTATTTTTTCGAAAAGCGGCACTATAATAAATCTCAATGCAATAACGATAAATTCATTGCGGATCGACATGCAAATGTTGTGAGATTTTTTTCGATCAAGCACTTTGCGTCGGACGAAAAATTCGTGGAGATACCTTTTTTTTATTGTTAACTCCTTTTTATTAAAATGCTTTCATCGATGCGACAATTTATTATCGTCCATATCAAAAAAATTTTTGGTGCACATATTATATATATTTTTTTTTTATATAGTAAAGATGTATTAATTAATATTACTATAATCTTATGAACTAGAACAATAATATATAGATAAAGTGAAATGCTTCCTCAAAAATGGTTTATTTTAAATTTCTAATCAGAGGCTATTAACATAAAAAAAACTACATATATTATTTAGGTCTTGTGCTACCTGATATTTGAACGATTAGCACATAAAAAGACAGCGTTACCCAACTATAGTTTAATTTAATAAAACATAATTAAAATGTAAACAAATGCATGAAATAGTCTATTCATATTCAATAGCAGTACAATTTAAAAATCCAATAATTGATTGAATACTTCGATTTGTTATTAATCTCATGTAGAAAGTTTATGTGGAAGTTCCAACAAGACTTGTTTATATTTGCATTAAGTTCTACTGAAACTATAGTATCTACATATATGATATAATAGAAAAGATATTTTCAAATAATCTTATACTTTGTAATCATAAACTTCATACGTGCCATTGTTGTTTGTGAAAATAAATGAGTAGTATAAAATGAATTCTCTGATCTACATTCAACAAATACATACATCAAACTGTCTATCCGCCGTGAGTTTACACAGAAAGCATTCATAAGCGATCGTGTTTTATTTATACAGCGCCCCTACCGGTTACGACCCGTACTAAAATCGACATTATGAGTGTTAACTTTATAAATATAAAAACTTATGCAAAAATTTAAATGTTTGTTATTCAAATCTAACATTTAATATAAATTTAATGCAATTGGATTGTATATTGTACATACTTTTGTCATTCACGTGATAAACGTCACAGGCTAAAGATGTTTAAATATCTTCAGATTGATTAAAATTTATATACCTATTCCACTCCACGGGACCTATGTCCCGTAACCTCAAAAGATCAAGTACTCGATTCCGCACAGCGCAGTTTTTATTTTGGCCGACTGTGCTTTCCCGTTCCACGTCCGATGATTCGCTTTATTTTTTCAACCACCTGTGTTTCCCTTTTTTTTCTTGTTTTTTTTTACTATTGTTGTGTATAGACTATTATTTTGATAGAATGATTTTAAAAGTTACATTAGTAAATTTTACAATTCAATTAATTTATTTATATTACTTTGCTTTACATTTATGTAAAATAACGTATTTACTACACCGAAAGCCAAGCCAGAAACACCGAAGTCATCGATATTTTTTTTTAAATTGTAAATAAGAAAAGCTTAAAAAGTAAATAATATAAATTTTTTTTGCACAATTTGGGCGGGAAAAATTTACGCAATAAAATTTCATACTGTAAATTGAACTTTAGAATACATAACACGATCGACCTTTAAGTTTTAAGAATACGCATAATTATATTAATATTTCTTATAGTTTCATCACAAAGTAAATTTGAAAATAAAACTACAATACAAATGTGCAGATGTTCAATATGTAGGTACTCTTCAATTGCTTCCTGGATTATATAAAACCCGTACACCACCTTTTATGCAGATGGTACCATCAGTTCGCAAAAAAAAAAAAAAAGAAAATAATCGCTAACAAATCGAACAGTACGAGATTAAATAAATTGTTAATACCCTCAAAGCATTTTATCGTCTATGTTAAGTATACATTAACGGATATGCAAACATAACTATAGATAGAGAATAGATATTTTATAGTTTTTTCACTTCCTCTTTCGTAAAAATCCCTATCTGGTACAAGTGTTTCCTTTGCCACCAGCAGCTAGATTCGATAAAATCTATGCAAAAAAGAAAATGGCGCCGATTTATTTCTACGTGTACCGTGTAAAAGGAAGTCGATTTCGTTATAAAATAAAAATTAAAACTCACCTTAAAATTAAATGTACGAGTAATTGGCTATTAACCAATACCCCATTTATTATAGAGATCGTGGTTTGGCGACTGTGTTTTAAATAATAAAAAAAAGAACAATTATATTTTATGATTCGATTTTTGAAATTTGAAATCTGTTTTAGAACACAATGGCCGCCGCACGTCCCCTACTTTTGGAAGATAACAATACGCATTGAAACAGATGCCAACTCACTCGCTGAAGTGTAGACCAGCATTCTTCCAGGGTTCTCTCGCTGATGCTCTGGCCAGATCTTGCTTGTTGCTGCGTGAAACGAAATAAATTATTAATAAAAATATCAGTGACATTAATCAATTTAGGTTAGTTATATTCTTGATAAAACGGAATATTACGGCATTCCACCTTGTTTAGAAAAAAAATGTTCTATATAAGAATATCAATTTTATTTTCATCAAATAAACATAATAAATATTAACAAAATTATATTATTTTGTGGCCAATCACGTGACAAATACATAATGTATTGTAATCTAGCATAGTTATTGCAATACAAAATATTAATATGTACGTATATATATTCCAAATTCTTAATATTCCTATTATCAAGTCAAATTTTTACAGTGAGCTTTATCACAAATGATTAATGAATAACAACAAAATTATGATATACAACTATAAATATAATTAGATGTAAAGAGAAAACATGCGAAAAAGGACCGAAATGAAACCGGGATAAAACTCACTGTTAAATGAAAAAGTAACGAGCGCAATTACGGAAACTCATTCGATTGTTACTAAAATAAGATCATAAACAAACATTGTATGTTGGAGAAACATTAAATACTGAAGCACTTGGTTCTATGAACTGTTTTAAATCATCATCGGGAGATAAAATACAAGTTTTCCTAAAATCGGCATATCGAAAATACACCACATGGTTGGTTTATTTTCATTTTAAATTTATAATTTTGAATATTATTACGTATTTGTTTGTTATAATTATCATTTATTTTTTGTTAAATAAATACATTACAAATTACAATTGTAGGTAATACCTACAATTGTAATTTATAATGTATTTATTTCAATTAAAATTATACACCTATAAGATAATTATTGTTTTTTTTTTAAACTTGTGTATTTTTCAGTAAAAGAAATAAATGTAATGTGCCAATTCAAATAATAGGACACAGGTAAAACAAAAAATCATAATTGTTTCTTTTACTGTTTTATTGTACTGAATACTTTATTTAAAATACTAATTTAATTACACTTTTCGATAACTAATATACGAACTCAGGTGTTACACCTCCTTACGCGGGAATTTAATTACATTATTTAATCGCAATACTATATTAAAAGGAATAAAAAAAAAGAAAACTGAAAAAGTAATTTTACTCTAAACCTATAAATATAAAAAGCTATAAATGATAGTTCAATTATTCGTATATCGAATTCGATTTTAGAATTTCTAATCGAAATGAGTTCCCATAGTACTAACTAAGCGACAAACTAGTGAAGATAAAGTAAAGAAAATAATTACATCGATATTGAGGCTATTCAGGAAATTTACCAATGCGAAAGGCAACATTGTGTTGCGATCGCCGATCGGGCCGTCCCCTGTTGGCGACTGTTGCTGTGGCTGCGTGCAAAAACAAAACGTTACTCGTGTTATTAACTGCTTAGAAAAGCGTGTTCGATTTTCGAATGATATTAAAACGAGTTTAAAATAGACACGTGGTTTTAATATGTTCTTTTTTTAATTTCTTATTCACTCTAATAGATAGATTATTATTAAGCAAGCTTTTCTATTTTTAAAAAACTATTAAAAGCAATATGAAAAAGAACAAAAAGATTTAAATATATATAACTTTTATGGATATTCTCTATAAAGGATTTTTTTTTTAATTATTTTTTAAAATAGTATGTTATATATATGTAATTAATATACTAAATACTATAGGTATGTGGCTACTGAAGTTTTAAAATTTCGTTAAGAATACTAAGAGACAACTAAGGCAGGTATATACCTACTCTACTTGTTTGTGTTCAGATCAGTCACATGTAATTGTTATCATCTATTTAATATTTATAAAGAATAAATTAATTAATTTAGTAAAAGTACCTACTTTTACTAAATTTACATATCTATGAGAGATAGAAATTCAATGCATAAATCGATTGTTACCAATATGGGAGTGGTATATTTTTAAAGAATAAACCCTCTTCAAAATATAAGAATAAAAAAGAAATTCAAAGAATATAATTCTCTTAGAAAAAAAAATTAAATATCTATCTACAAATACGAAGCAATCAATAAATTACAAGAAAGCTGCTATTAGTAAATATTGGAAATATAATTAACATGCGACAGTAATAACAATATTGTAAACATTTAAAATAAACTTACCCCGTAAAATAAAACCGCCGTAAGTGATAAAAAAAAACACTTCGTGCTCATGCTAAGTATTACAAAATAGTAACAATAAGAAATTAGTCACAAGCGCAAAAAAATAAGATAATTTTTAAAAATAGAACAAAATGTTTTTAAACGCAAAAAAAATAACCGATCTTTTTCCCGATTACGTTACGAAAAATAAAGTTTTTCTAAAACATATGCACACGGAACATGACATTGAAAGTTATAAAATATTATTTACATCGACATTACTGAGTGTAGACAGTAAATTTACCAGCGCAAACGGTACGAGCGATCTCTCGCTCATCGTCGAGTCTGCGGACGGCGATTGCTGCTGCTGTCCCGTTCCAACGTACGGCGCGGCGGGCGTGAAAAAGAGAGACAACTATATGAATTTCAAAGAAAAAAAAGCATATAAATAAAACTGGCATATATAATTCAGAAATATTTATCCATTTTATTATTATTTTCAAAAATTAATTATGTAGCAAGCAAAATAGGAATTATTTTAAATCCATACATTACATACACACTTTTATTGTTTTATAAAAGATATTAAAAGGGATATATTTCTTAAATATTTTACATGATTTTCATGAAGAATTAATTCAGGTAAATTATATTAAAAATTGATTATAATAAATAATATTAATGCAATTACTAATGGAGAATGGAATGACAAAGTAAATTTAATTTTGAAACTAAAAAAATTTTATACACATAATTTTGACTATAATCCTTCGGTCAGGTCGTTGACGACTAGATTATAAAAAATATTAATAAATAAATTATAGTTAACTGTTATTTACAAACATTTTAACCACAAAACTTTTATACACACCTATTCCTTTATAAAACATATTATGAAGTACAAATTATTCAACTATTTTACAAGATTTCCATAAAAAATAATTTATACAAATTATATAAAAAAAAATTAATGCGGTAACCGACTGGTTAAAATTTATTTTACTGTTATTTTGATAATAAACTCTTGACTCAATGGTATGAGCACAAAAATATTAATAAATCAAATTTTAATTAACCGTTATTTACAAAAACTTTAACCACAAAAGCGCAGTTACTAGCGTAGTGTTGAACCGTTAAATCTCTATTGATCAAAAAAATCAAATGAATACGAAACATGAACTGGCACAAACCGGTTCGTTATTCAAACAAAATTTAAAACAAAAAAAAATGGAATGAGAACAGATTCGCAGCAACAAATAACTGTCAACACCCCTTCGTGAAACAATGCAAGGCAAAAAAAAATTAAAAAAATAATATCACAATGAACGCCCTAATCCGCCGCGCCGTGGGAAATAGACAAATGCAAGGTGAGCGAATCCGAAACTAATTTAAAAAGTAATATTCTTCCTTCTTCTGTTTTTAAAATATGAATTAAGAACGCGTATAACGCCTCCAACAGTAGACTATACAGTTTCCTTTTTTAATTAAAAATGTAAGTTGTTAGTTTTATGACTACGAAAAACATGTCTTTCTTATATCAAACAAACAATTTGGAAATTACAGGTCACCGGAAGGGGCAAATAAAATAATATTAGTTCTAAATAACAGTATTCGTTGAGCGACGCGTTGCCTATAAAATAATTATGAGCCATATGCTCAAACAAACATTTGTCATGGAGTAAAAGAAAATACAAAAATGAGTAAAATTGAAAGTAACGACAAGTTGATCACAGGCTAATACCGAAATAATAGAATTATCACAGATTATTGTAATTTACATATCCTTTGTAAAACCGGATGCGACATAAGGACAAAAACGATTTAATAATAAGTTCCGAGTCAAGGCCCTTAACCCTTTCTTATATTAACAAAAGCTATACACAATGTTGCCGTGGATTCTTGAGACTGTTTTTTTTTTTTTTAAAGAAGGGATCATTTAAATTTGGAACGGGTTTGTGAGTTTGTAATATCTTGAGGTCAGTCGATCATCACTTCTCGCATACGAAAGACGGTTATTTTGTCTGGTTGTCTTTAGATCTTTTAAGAAAATTATTTTATCAAAAAATATTTCATTAGTGCAAGATAAATTATTTAAAATTTAATCCAGTGAATTAATAATCTTTTTTATTTATTCCTAATAATTAATTAATTTACTTATATATATAATTTTTGTTTTATACAGTTAATAAAAAATATTATATTATCACAATTATATTTAAAAAATAGTGCCACTAAATATGTTGCAATAAATAGAATTCAACCCGCAACTAGCCGTCGGAACTATGTCTTTTGATCTTAGTTTTTTTCTTTTTATTTTATTTTTATTTTTAACGGGATTAATTTATCAATACCAAAATATTAAACAAATTTTTTTAAAAACACTTTTATAGTTTATAAAATAAAATATATATAAAAATTAATTAAAAAAAAAAACTTATGCCCTCCTTTAATGTCTTGATACAATAATATTAAATAGGGTATATTAGATACAAAAAAAAAACACTCACCTGGATTTCGTTCACTAGTTTTTCCGTGATGATCTTATGGTCAGGAGTAGCTGGCGGCTGAGGAGTCGGCGGAGCTGGTCCAGGCTGGCTCTGGCTTTCTGGCAGCTGCTCTTGGGCGGGAGACCCTGGCCGACTCCTGTTCCAAAAGTCTTGCATTTTAAACCGCTGAGCCTCCGCCGCTTGTTGCAACGCCGGGATGTGCAGCGAGATCGGCGTCGCCCTGAGATCTAAAGCACTGCCTCCAGCGGAGGCTTCTGAGTTCCCTTCGGCTGCAGTCATCTTAAAGGAGTTCTGGAGCCAACTCGCCACAAAGTTGTCCTCCTCTTTGGGAGCCTCCAGCAACCTCTGGAACGGCGGCGCGGCGCTCGGCTCGAAGGCGCCCTCGCCGCCGACCTGGTCTCCTTCCTCAGCTATTTTCGGTACTTTCGCCTCCCTCGGTGATCCCTCCTCTACCGCTTCCGTCTTCCGATAATCATGGAGGTCCCTGTATCTCTCCTGCAGCGCTAGGGATATGTTCTCATTGAAGTATTTCAACATTAATTCCAGTTTCGGGCGTATCGTCACAACGAATTCATGCGATCTCTCGCTTCGCTATTGCACTTTTTGTCTGTTTTGTTTCCGGCAATCTGGAAGTGAAGAAGCGCGGTTAGTAACTACACGCGAACTGTAAAACTCCGCGATAAGTTAACGCAGTGAACGCGAAAAGTCACCCCGGAAAAGCTAAGTGAGGCTCAGGGTAGGCGGAAGCGAGACCTTCTTGAGACGCGGGCGGGCGACGACTAACTTCTTGGTGGAAAACTTAACGTCGCGACGCTTTCTTGCGGGGTGGGGAGGACGCGCGCGCCAGCCGAAGACGCCGCTCCAACTAGCAAGACGCGGCGCCGCCCCCGCCGTGCCGGCCGCCTTAGACGTCCTCAAGAACATCCCCACCGACGCCGGGCGCACGCGCCCAGCGTTTTTTCCGCGGAAAAATGCGTCCGGCCAAGGAAAAGACGGCGCGGCCGGCGGCAGGCGACGGTCGTGTGAGCGCCGCGCGCCCCGCGCCCGTACGCCGGACGCCGGACGCGACCGACGGACCGTTCGGACCACGGCCGCAAGAACTATTAAAAAGGGCGCGAAGGACGAGGGTGGTCGCCCCTCTCGCTCGCCCGACCTCGTTTCCGTCGCACCCCAGCGTGTTAGAACGGGACGAGTAGCGCTCCCCATTTTTTTAATTGAGGGAGGAAATGGAAAAGAATGCGTTTCTTTGTGATTTTTTCTTAATAGGCTCTATCTCGCTCGCACTATAGAGATTAGAATGGCGCTGTTTCGCGAGGGCTACTGAAGTATTTCTTTCTGTAGACGCCTCTTTTATTATGGTATTTTTTTTCTCTCCAGGCGGGGCTTGGATTATGGGGTGTTAGCCAACGGCATTTTGATGTGGTTTTACATTTTTTCTTACCTACTCTTCGGAAAATGGGATTTGCTAAACTTTTTTTCTTATTATAATGTTCTGAAAGCTATCTATATACTTGGTACAAACAATTTTAATGTAGGCATCTCCGAGTCTTTACCGCAACTATGTAGTTCACTAATAAAAAAAGCTTTAAATACTCAAATAAAAAGTTTTTATCTAATTACTTGTAAAGACGAAATAAGAAACGAATAAGTCTATTTATAACTTCGTAATTTCAGATCACAGCGTTATCACTACCCCTCGAAAGATGGCGTTAGACGTCCGTATGTTGTCACTGTTTGTACGCAATGAAATAATCTTAATAATATAAAGCAAAATATTAACTACATATAAATTAACACTTTAATTTTTCACTAAATAAAATATTTTTGTAATATTACTATCAAAAATACTTTCCTGTTTTATTTTTTCTAGCTATTTTTACTACTATTAATATAATACCTATGATAATAATTGAAGTATATAAAACTAACGTTTAGTTATATAAATCCGATGTTTTTTTTTTCAATAAAAAATTATGAACCTTATTCTTGATTGGCATAATACCTATCTATTTTAATTTAAAAATAGTTGATGATTTAGGTAATTAAGTAAACATAACTTACGTATAGCAATGAAACTTGTTATACTCATAATATTTTATACCTAATTCGAAACAGTATTTTGGTACTACATAACCCTAGAAATTATGTTTTTCTTTAATTGACGAGCTTATATGAGTTGGGAAGACAAATATTGTGGTATCAGAAATTTGAAACAGTAGTAGATGGCGTTTTGGGGTTGTTATTTATTTTAAAAGTAAAAGTTACTATAATAATGATAATGTTGTCAATAGTTAAATAACGTTTAAATTTAGTAAATTAACTGGCAATAATTACGTAAGTATAATTTCCATTTGTATTATAAGTTTTAAATATAATTAATTTAGTAGGTAACATCTCTATTAAATATAAACCAGATGGCAGCAGTTTCTTACTTAAATAGACATGATTTTAAATATGTTTAGATATAACATAAAGGAAGAAAAAATATTCAAAGAAAAAAGTTCATATTCGCATACAATAGATGGACAATCAAGGCATAGATCTAAAAGTCATTATGCGTTAGACAATTATAAGGTGGTGCCATGTGAAGCAGGCGTGGTTATGGGAGTGGTGTCCGATACGGTATATGAACACTGAATTAAGTTGAGATCGAGTAACGATCATGTTGTGTATCAATATAGTATTTTTTTATTTCTTTTTTTTATTTTTAAATTTTCAACACAAAAAATAAATAAAAATATACACTTATAATATAAAAGTTAAAAGTTATGTAAACGTAAGCAATATTCTGAATTTATTTTTACATTTAATTAAGAAACATAATTGAATTATTCTATTGGAAACAGTGAAAAAGCTAGCTATTTTCCAATCGTTAAAGGACGAATAGAGGGCGCTATTAAAACAGATGTCGCCCTGTGTAATCAAGGTTATTCGGACGAGAATTTTATTGGAATTATTATATAAATTGTTAAGGTAATCATTTAAATATATTATTGAGAATTATGTACATAATTTATTAATACTTTGAATATGTAATAATGGTTTATAACTATTTTTATTTATATATATCATAATAGCATAGAAACAGTTACTATAAATATGCCTGTTTATAGTTATTTGCTTAATGATTTCAAATAATAATTGTTAAAAATTAAGTGGACATTATTTTAGGAAATTGACTACCTACAATAAATTTGGTTTTGTCTTTTAATACTCAAATTCTTTTTTTGATAATGTATTTTTATCCTTACAAATGTCGTAATGAAGAAAGATTTAATTTGTTTGTTTGTAATGAATAAATTCAAAAGCTACTCGACCAATTTTAAAAATTCTTTCACCTACAGAAAGCTACATAATCAGATAGCGACATAGGCTACATATATTATTTTCGAAAATTCTATCGTGCAAAGCCGGAAAGTTAATATAGTAATCAGGGTGTAGTATTTAATAATTCAATGTTAACTGAATTTAGATTTCGTTACAGATAATCTAATGTGAAATATTAATTACTGTAAATATGTTAACAAAATGGGACATCTACCGGACAGTAGCGTTTAAAACTTACAGACACGTCGCATGAAAGGGTTGATAGAAAAGTGGAACTACATTTGGAACACAATGTTTACGATATTTAGTATTAGAAGAGCTTTACACCGAACCAAAACTTTATTTCTTAAAAAATTAACTTCAAATTGGTCTTGCATGGATGGATATTGAAATATTTTAATATATAGAAGTCCCTTGTTACGATGTTCGTTTATATTAATCTTCGGAATTGTTCAACCAATTTTAATGAAAAATTGTATTGTTTGCCCTAACTTGTGAGGCAGAATGGTTTTCATCACGTTCAAAAATAAACCCAGTAGGAGGCAGTAGAGAGCAGAACGGTCATCTGACTTAATATAAAAAGGATTTTAGGTATTGTTAGTGTTGATAACTGCAATTCCACCAATTTTTTTTTAATAATAATAAATTTATTGCCATTCTTTTTTTTTATACAACTTAGAATGGCAAACAAGCTGATGGCCCACGTGATGGAAAGTGGTAACCGTCGCCTATAGACATGAGCAGTATCATGCACATAACAGAGTATACTGTTTCGTCCATGATACCCCGCATGCGTTGCCATTCCTGAGGACTCAGATGTTATTCCTCTGTACCCAGTAAATTCACGCCATATCCCACCCTTCAAACCGAAACACAGCCATGCAAACACAACTGCTTCACGATTGAAACACGAATGGGACAGAGGTACCCAAGCAATCGACTTTTGTACAAAGTCTCCCTCTGGTACATTCCTTACAAATATGGTACAGAAATAATTTTGGTAATTCACTGCAAATTTTTGCAATAAAAATATGTTGATATAGTAAAAATGTCATCCATATATGAAATTATATTGAATATTAATTGAGTCCAATAATTATTGAGTGATTGATTAATTTCGAAGCGGGTAGGTTTCGAACCCGCACCATCTATAGCATGCCAGAGCCAGTGCTACTACTAATTGAGCAAGAACTTCACTGGTCATTGTATATAAAATTATTTTGTATATCTTATATATAAAATTCTAGTGTCGCGGTGTTTGTTACCAAACTCCTCCGAAACGGCTTTACCGATTTTTATGAAATTTTGTGTGCATATTGGGTAGGTCTGAGAATCGGCCAACATCTATTTTTCATATCCGCCAATGATAAGGGTGACCCTCCCCAAATTTTTTTTTTATTTTTTGACAAATTTATCCATTTTTATTTTATTATGATTTAGCATTGAAAAATACATACAACCTCAAATTTTCACCGTTTTACAATCAACTCCTGTTTTTTAATCGCGATTTTTATATTTCGCAATAGGATTGCAAAATAGCAATCCAATATAATAATTGTAGTAGGATAAATTTTCATGTATAGTTCTAAAAATAATGTATATGGTAAAACAATGTTTGCCGAGTCAGCTAGTTTATTTATATTTTAAACTTTTAATATTTCTTAATTCTATTTAATTTTTTATTTCAGAAGGGATCAAGGTAATTAATACTGTTTGGTTTTAGTTTTATATCTAAAATTTCATGTGCCAAGTTATTTAAGACTTCTGTTTTAAAATAATTTATTCATATAAATTTATTGTTTTTATTAGGTTTCTAATTTATATATAAGGCCTAACTGCGGCTGCTAATCCGCCTGCCAAGCATGACAACTATTGGCAAAATCCCCAAAATAGGAGAAGGTCTATGTTCAGCAGTGGACAGTTAACGGCTGATTTGATGATGACGATGATGATGATACAAAAGTTTATTATAATCATTTATATTGACGATATGAAATTTTAATATTAACAGAACTTACAGGGTACAATTAATTTACAAGGTACAGAGGAATAAAACCTGAGTCCTCAGGAATGGCAATGCATAGGGGATATCATGGGCGAAACAGTATACTCTGTTATGTCCATGATACTGCTCATGTCTATAGGCGCCGGTTACTATTTTCCATCAGGTGGACCATCAGCTTGTTTGCCATTCTAGGTTGTATAAAAAAAATTTCATTAGTCCCCCAAAACCGGATGTAACACAACACTAGTTTCTGTTTTATCATTGAATCTGTTCCGCTCTTGACATTAAAAAAAA